TCTCCTTACAGTTGCAGCCCATGCACGCACTTCTCTTTGTGCATCACCTCCAATGTAGAAACAGCCACGTATGCGAGCCGCCGATGCCAAGTCTCCCGATCCGCTTGGCCCGAGGTAGTCGACGCCTTCACCGCCGCGCTTCCTCCAATCAGCTCCTCTCCGTGCACACCTTGTTGCTCCTCTTCGGTGACACTCTCCTCCATACATGCCGCCGCTGCCGTCTTGTCCGATTTCTGCCGAGGGAGGACCGGGATTTGCCATATCCGCTTGTGGACATCGCCCTTCCACTGGAGGTCTCAAATGAGGCGCTCATCGTTGTAGGCACGATAGCGCTCCGAGCCAATCGTCTCGATGTTCACACCCGCATCTCCCAACCGGCCGGTAGAAATCAGGTTTGCGCACAAGTCCAGCACCCACAGCACATTCTTCAGCCCCACGAGCTCTCCATCCGCTCCCATGAACTTGACGCATCCCATGCCCATGACCTTGGCCTTGGCGCTCGTTGCGGATGTGACTGTAGAGATGGGTGCGGGCTGAATCTCATCAAGTAGGTCCGCACGAGTCATGTGCCAAGAGCTCTCGGAGTCAATCACCCAATGGGTGAGGGGGTGTAGGAGAACCTTGGCAGCCATAGCGTGGTCGGTTGCACCTTCGTTCACGAAAAGAAGAACCCGGCCTTCCGCTCCTCAGATTTGCCGCCTTTCTCCTCATCCTTCTCCTCTCCACTAGCTCCCATGACTCCCCCACTCCTCGTGCCACCACGCTGCTTGCTTGATGAAGGCGGGGTCCAATCCTTGGGTCGTTGGTAGCACTTCCGCCAACGATGTCCGCGCTTCTTGCAGTAGAAGCACACCTCCCCTTGACCCCCGCCGCCATCCTCCTTAGGGTTATCCCTGTTCTTGCCCTTCCACTTCTTCTTGAAGCCACTCTTTCCACCTCCAACTCCATAGTCAGCCCCCTCCTCCGAGCGCTCCACACTCCGCCGCCGCAAGTCCTCCTCTAAAATGTGCGCGCGAATGTAATCCACGCTCCATTGGGGTTGTTGATAGTTGAGGTTGATCGCAAGGGCAGACCACGACTCCGGCAGCCGTATCACGATCTCCACGCATTGCACGAGCTCCGGGTACACCACACCCCCTCCTTGGAGCTTCGTGAAGATGTCGCGCATCTCATCCAACACCGGTTGCATCGGCTCTCCATCAACGAACTTGATGTCGCGTAGCCGCCGCGCGAGTAGCACGATGCCGGTAGCATGTGTCGGTGAGTGCACATCCAGAAGCTTCCTCCAAGCCTTGGGGCCACACTCTTGATCACCCAAGAGGTCCTTGATGTGGTCAAGTTATCGTCCGCCAACCGCTTGCACCATGAGCATGTACGCGTCGAACGATCGCTTCATCCATGCTTTTTTCAGCTCCGCGGCCTCCGGCATCTTCTCCTTCCCCTCCACCAAATCCAATAGCTTGTATTGGGTATACATCAGCCTCATGCGGAAACTCCAGTGCTTGTAGTCCTCCCCCATGAATTTCTCAATAGAGAAAGCTTTCACAGGATCCACGGTAGTAGGAGATGGTGTAGAAGAAGTAGGTAGCGTAGGGTTGGCAGGTTGGTGAGTCCCCACTCTTCCACCAGCAACTCCCCCCTGCTCTCCAGCCTCTCTACTTCTATCCATCTCACCACTAGCACCTCCGGAGTTCGTACCAACCATATTGAGGCCTTATGAACGGTGGAAACTTGAGAAATCGTTTGGAGAGAATTCCGCCAGAAATTTTGATTCTACAAAAATCGCCGTCGCGGACTGGATACTTCGAATTAGAACGCGGTTTGACCACCAATCGAAATTTCGCAAGCAGAGATACTAGAAAATGGTCTCACTTGACAACATTGGTTGAGATTTAACGACGATTTGTCGTCTCAAAGTCGACTACCCACTCTGATACCACTTGTTGTTCAGGATCCGTCACTTTGAGAGCTTACAACGAACTTATTACTCAACTAAACGCAAATCCGCTCGGTAGGAAGTTGCGCCTTAGGCTTAGCTACCATTTCAAAGTTGAATCAGTTATTAAGATGGTCTATAGAGTGAGAACCAAGTAAAAACGTCCAGCAGCCGCATGACTAGAATGGTGGAGGAAGTACAAACATTAGGGCATAGGAAGTTGGAGTTGAGAACCTCCAAGAGAACCATGAGAGGGAAGGGGTTCTCCAAGAGCTAGGGAATGATGGTAAGAACCTTCCTAGCAGCAAGGATGCAACCCTCATCATGAGGTCCTTGAGGTGTCACATGCAAAATCCAATCTAGTTGGATTTTGCCTAGGTGTTGCAACATTTGCAACCCATGCTAGAAACTTCGAGCCACCCCGATCTAAAAGTCAAAGTTGCCTTCCTAACCACCCAACCAAAGATCCCTTTATAGTCATGTCCCAAGTAATCACCCAAATTAGATATAACCCCAAAAGGTGATAAGAAATCCAAATCTTGGAAATCTTGTAACTTGGGCGATCTTGGTCGGAATAAGTTGATCTTGGTGTCGTTGGAAAACTCTATTCTCCTGCATGATCAAGCATTTAGACTTGGAGAAAAACAGAGAGATGATAATATCCAACAGTCATGCACAATGACATATGCTCATGCAAATCATGCAAGCACAAATGGGACGAGCACTCGGCAGGACGTTAGGATGACATGCACTCAGAATGACGTGCATCCAACATACTCTTCTCGGCTGGCTGCTCTCGAAAACGTCACAACGCCACTCATGCTGTGGGGGGTAGTGCCGCTTCTAGTGTAGTCAAGGTGTTGACACTTGGTGGGTCCGGAGTCCAACCATGGTCCAAGAGCCTCACCGCTCGGCTCAGGAGGTAGGCTTTTGGGAGTTTCAGGCCGCGTAGCAGTTGCTGGGCCGCAGTTACTGAGGCAATATAGGCTGCAGTGGCCTCTCAGTTGGGGTCTATTATCCCCAGCCCCCCTATTCTGACTGGTAGTGTTCCTTGGCGCCACAGTAAGCTCCGCTCCAGTTCACTTGCCGGGGCCCTGAGCTTTGCCGCTGCAAAAGCCGTCGCCAGCAAGGCCTCACTCCAGCTCCTCCATCTATCCCTTTCTAGGGTATCTGCTGGTGTTGTCCTGAGCGGGTGCGACACTCGGCGGGAGATGCTCCTCTACAGGATAAGCAAGGCGCTCTGCGGGTGAAGCTATGCCACCAGCGGCAGTGTCAGTGATGCCTCCTCCAGCCGGGCTTGGACTTGGTTGGTGCAGAATGTAGGCAGGCCGACCGTGCTCCCTAGGACTTGGATCCCCTCCCGGCTCTGCTGCAGTCCGAGCGTGAATGTGGTGTCGCTCTCCTCCGGCATCATTTGGCTCCATGCAGATGACTTAGCAACATTGCAGTGTAGGCAAAGCGCAACTAGGTCCCTGGTTATGGCGCTGAACGCTTCATACGCCACCTCCCTTGGCCCAACGATAGTGATGTCTTCCGCGTAGGCGACCACCGCCACCTCGGGGAGTAGGGTCGCCGTGCTGGTCAGGGCCGGCTGGATCGCCATTGCAAAGAGCAGTGGGCCTAAGGGGTCCCCCTGGCGCACTCCTCGGGATCTGGTGATGTGGTCTACGCCGAAAAGTTGATCGACCACAAGTCGTGACGGCCCTCCATACAAGGTTCTAACGTGCGGTAGAAGCGGCAGCAGGCTTGAATGGGAGAGCGCTGTGAAGAATGCCGCGCGTTCTACACTATTAAATGTGTTCTCAATATCCAATTGTAGTGCCACCCGTGTCTCATCCTCCCGCAGCAAAGAACGGACGGAGTGAATGATGCATTATGCACCCCCCGTTACAGCCACCCCGAACTGCTTTCGATATATTTCCCTTCTTCATCAAACCCCCAGCTCTAGCGCACCAACCAGCCTCATCCAACTCGTGCCTTGTGGAGTTTTCACTGTCGGGGATGACGCATGCATCCCTGGAGTGGTGCTGCCAGTTGCCAAGTTGGAATAGGTGTAGCCGTTGCTTGATTGATGACCATCGGCTGCCTTCCACAGGTTTGGGGGCGAGACGGAGAGTCAGCCTCAGGAGATACTGTAGGACCGCCCATGCACCTGGACAGTCTGGAACCTTGGACAGACGGATGAGTGGTGTGAGAGCGCAAAGTGAGCAGCTCTGTAGGATTTGGGGTGGCATGTGGCGGACCAGGAACGGCGGATCTCCTCGCTGTAGGGGAGTCAAGTCCCACGTGGCCACCTGTTGCCAGATGGCTTGGTCTTTTGCCAGGTCAGATGGTGATCGAACCCAAGGCTCACTTTGGTTCCTATTCTCCTCTTCGATCCCAACTCCTGTCCCTTGTGGGTTTTCCTCCTAAGGGTTTACCACGTTTCTCTCGCCTCTCCTCTGTCCTCCCGCTCCTCTCATCCTGCGCACATCTTCCTCCTCCTCTAGCGAGATTTCTTCCGAAGGCGCGGCCGACTCAGCTACAAAGTCGTCCCCATCATCGTTGTTGTCAACATCCTCTTCGTTCCGATTCGTTGCTGGCTCTGCCTGCTCTGGTCGCTCGTGGCGTTCTCGCCACGTTCCCAGTCTCATGAGCGCCGCCCTTCCGCCAATGATCGGGCCTCTTCCGCCTCCCCCTCCGCTGGCACCTCGTCCTTCTCCCCTCGCTCCGCGAGCCGTTGCGCCGCCTCTGGTACCGGCATTCTGCTCGCCTTGTCTAGCCTGCTGCGGCCGTCCAGCGGGGATCCACGACTCCAGGATCGGCGTTGCCCAGCCGCCCCTTGGCTGGCCCCAGGCAATGCCGTGTGCTCTCGTCATGCTACGGGTTTCCCACCGTGGGGTTTGCTGGGCCGTAACTGCCGCCGGGTTTGTTCTTTCCTCCCCCTCCGTCGAGCACCGTGTTTCCCGTTGCGGCGTTTGGTGCATTGATGGTCCTGCCATTGCGTTTCTTGTCGTGTTGTTCGTTGTTGTAGCTTGCCTAATGCCATTCTCTACCTCCCTGCCCTTGCCGCTTGTCCCCACAGATGGCGGTTGACACTCTTGCCCTCGTGGCAACTGCCCTTGCAGAAGCCAGCCCAGGAGGGGTCCCGGGGGACCAGGTACCAGCCCTGCTCCGGGCCGCCTTGGTGCTGGCTGGGCTCGAAGCTTCTTCTTCACTGTCTTCCCGCGGGCGGCGCCGGCAGACGCGGCAAGTCCGTGACCCCGTCTATCGCTCCCCTCTTGGCCGTGCCCCTGCGTGCTTGCACCATCGGCTGCAGCAGACATTTCGGCGCTCGCAGCGGCAATCGGCGCATCCTCCTTGGCCAAGTCTCCGTCCAGTTCCCAGGCCGCCGCTGTCACCGCTGCAGCCAGCGCAGCCGCCGTTACAGGCTCCGGCAACGCCGCCAGCGCCAACTCCACGGTCTGTTCTGGATCCACTGCCTGTTCCAGCTCCTCTGGTTGCAACGCCTAGGGGATGGCAGAGGGTGAAAATGAGCCGCTGCCAGAGGCAGCGTCAAGCCTGCCAAGCTCGCCCACAAACCCTGGAGCCACCACAATCGCCGTCCTTATCAGAGTCGCACCAGCAGCAACCGCCTCTGGCCCCACAGCCCCCGCCGCCTCAGCCACCGCAGTCACCTCCAACTCAGTCAACGTTGCGGCGTTTCCCACTGTTGCCGCGGCCGCCGCCGCCTCGTCCCCCGGTGTCCCCTGTTCCTCCACCACTTCCCCAGGTGCTGCTATTCCCTCCCGTCCCACCAACTCCTCGCGCTGCTGCTCGTGTAGCTGCGACTCCTCTCCATGTCAAGTAGCGCGTAATGCACGTGGGGACGTGCTTGATGCTGCTGTCATACGTACTCGACCAGCTCCACGTGTGCTTGGCGCGCCAAGGTGTCGAGGTTGGGGGGACGATGCCATCAGAGCAATTGGCAGCAGTGTCCGCGGCAACGGAGATGCTCCATTATCCCCCCCTGATCGGACTTGTCCCAGGCGCCCCTGGTGCAGCGCTCGGGCCCGGCCATGGGGCGATGATGCGGCTTGCTGAGTTTGCTCAGGGGGCCCCTCTCGGCCTTGTATCAACGGCCGCATCCGTCCTTTGCTGGATGGACGGGAGGCTGTGCTAGATACCTACCAAGTAGTGGGTGTTTTCCCCGTGCCGGCCCTCTTAGTAGCTGGCCTGGCATTGGGCTTCCCCATGACGATGTAGGCACGCCTGGTGTGAGGATCTAGGATCGAGCTCAGAAAAGAGAATGTAATTGAATATGATCACCTGGGTACAACACGAGGCTATATATAGGCTCGACACAAAGCCCTGTAACCAGGTGTTACGCGAAGGTTCCGCGGGTCACGTAGCGTCCCGAACAGACCCTTACCGAATTCGGTAGAAGGCAATTTGGTGGCAACCGAAAAGGCCAGAATTCGGTGCACGCAACCTAGCTCGGTGCTATAACTATAATAAAACATAGGAAAGCACCTAGCCTAGGAAATAAAGCAATTCATGCATGCATATGATTATCCTATGCTAGAAATAGCATAATAAAGTAGAGGCAAGCAAGCATAGCTGGCATAAGCCGTCGTACTCTCACACGTCCCCCCCTCAAAGCTAGGTGGCGTGAGATACACCCTGCTTGACAAGATACTCCTTGAGAGCACGGCGTGCGTTGCCCATATCAGCTTCTGCAACCCAACTGTCCTTAGTGGGGTCGTATCCCTTCCAGCATATCAGGAACTCGAGAGTCTTGCCGCCGCGATGCCGATGAGAGAGAACGCGCTCGATCTCGTACTCGGGTTCATCCTATACAAGAACAGGTGGAGGTGGCGGTAGCTGCCGTCCCTGGAACTGTTTGTTGGGGTCCTTGTAGGGTTTCAGTAGCTGCACATGGAAAGCATTGTGAAGCTTCCAAGTAGTAGGTAAGCGCAAGCGGAATGTAACTGGTGTCACCTGTGCCTCAACGAGAAAAGGACCACAGAAGCGAGGCCGGAGTTTGGATGGGAGGTGAGACAGGTTCAAGTTGCGCGTGTCAAGAAGCACCTGATCTCCGACTATTACTGAGTGATCACGTCGCTGACGATCGGCATACTGCTTCTGGGAGGTCTGCATCGTGGTGAGTCGTCGCTGAGTCTTCTCCCATAGCTGCTGCATGGTGGTGACGAAGTCATGTGCGGCTTGGACGTGTGCCGGTGTTGTTGGCTATTGTGGTGTGAGTGGTTCCCGTCCGTAACACAGGAAGAAAGGAGTTTTTCCTGTGGCCGCATGTGATGCGTTGCTGTAAGCGAACTCTAGGGTCGGTAACTGTGTGTCCCAGTGGCTGACGTCGTCCTTGCAAGCTGTGCGCAGTAACTGTTCAACCACTTGATTGAGTCGCTCTGTCTGTCCGTCAGTCTGGGGGTGGTATGCTGAAGACATTGCAAGTTTTGTCCCCAACAGTCCCATGAGCTCCTTCTAGAACTTACTCGTGAATTTTGGGTCTCTGTCTGAGATGAGTGTAGCGGGGATGCCGTGGATGGTGATGATGCGGTCGAAGAAGAGGTGAGCAGTTGCTTCAGCTGTAGCTGTGGCGTTGGTCGGTATAAAGTGACCCATTTTAGAGAACTTATCGATGACTACGAGGATGGAATCGTGCCCCCGTGAGGTCGAAGGAAGTCCGGTGATGAAGTCGAGGCTAACGACCTGCCATGGCTGCTCCGGTACGGGTAGAGGCTGAAGTAACCTTGCTTTTTTTTGCTTGCTACTCTTCATCCGCTGGCACGTGTCGCAAGAGGTGAAGAACTGCTGCACGTCTGCTGCCATCCCGGGCCAGTAGTAATACTTCGCTATCCCTGCTAACGTCTTGTTGCTCCCAAAATGTCCCGCGTAAGGTACGTCGTGAAACTCCTCCAAAAGGATCTGTCGTAGCGGGGCGTAATTCGGTACCCAAATCTTTCCTGAACCCTTCCTTACTGCTAGGTCTTTCTCCCACTGTAACAGCTTCCGTTTCTCTGCCGTTGCTATCTCGCCGTCCACGGAGTACCCATGTTGGAATAGACCCTTGAGCAGAGGGTTCATCCCGTCGAGTTGGATGCCTGCTACATGTCCTGGACGGCTCAACGCGTCTGCTTTGTTGTGTAGCCTGGGTTTGTAGATGATGTCGTAGTGGAAGTGGGTCTCCAAGAAGTCCACCCACCGCACCTGTCGACGTGAGAGTGTTGGCTGCGACTTCAGGTATTTGAGACTGCAGTGGTCAGTATAGACTGTAGTCTTGGCTCCCTCCAGGTAACACCTCCACGCTTTGAAGGCTATGACTATCGCTAAGGCTTCCTTGTCGTGAATGGGGTAGTTCAGTTCTGCTCCGTGTAGCTTCTTACTGAGGTAGGCGATAGGCTGTAACCCTTTCCCGTGATCCTGCATCAATACTGCTCCGACTGCCTGGTGACTAGCGTCAGCTTCAACTACGTAGTCCTTCTCAGGGTCTGGTAGGATGAGTACCGGGGCTGTGGTCAGTGCGGTCTGTAGCTGCTCCATGGCTTCGATCTTCCGCGGGTCCACGTGTACGCCCTCGGCACTCACCATGTGCCCGAGAAACTGCACCTTCTTCAGGGCGAAGTCGCTCTTTGACAGCTTCACGTAGTACTTGTTCTTCCGCAGGATCTCGAACACCTTCCGCAGATGCTCCACGTGCTCCCTCATGTTCTTGGAGTAGATGAGAATGTCGTCCAGGCACACCACCACGCACTCGTCCAGCAGGGGCCGTAAGATGTGATTCATCTCCGCCTGAAACGTTGCTGGTGCATTGCAGAGTCCGAACGGCATCACCAAGTATTCGTAGGAGCCGTATCTGGTACGCAACGCCGTCTTGTGGATCGATTTGTCCGCCATCTTGATCTGCCAGTAACCCGACCGTAGGTCCAACTTCGAAAAGACTGTTTCACCACGCAGTTGGTCCAGTAAGTCGTCGATGCGCAGTATGGGGTATTTGTTTTTTACTGTCTGTTTGTTCAGTGCGCGGTAGTCGATGCACATCCGTAGACTGCTGTCTGGTTTTGGGGTAAAGAGAACTGGTGCGCTGTAGGGAGAGGTGGAGGGTCGGATCAGTTGTCTGTCCAGTAGATACTCGATCTGTTCCTTCATATCTGTCAGTTTGGTCGGACTCAGTCGGTATGGTGCACGTGAGACGGGTTTCGCACCTGGTTCCTCCATGATCTCGTGCTCGTGGGTGCGCGCTGGAGGTACGCCTGCGGGTAGGTCGTCGGGCATTATATCCTTGTACTGCTCCAAGACCTCCTTCACTGCTGCAGGTAGCTCCGTGTTTGGCATCTCCTCCTCTGCTGCTGCCATGACCAGTGCTAGGTAACCCGTGTTACTCTCGTTCACCGTCTGTTTGAACCGTGCCAGTGTCGTTTCAGGAATGCTCCCTGTATCCGTCCAGCTTCGCAGCTCCACTCGTTTCCCGTTGTTGTAGATGCACGCCTTCCGGTTGACCCAGTCGATCTCGGGGTTGAACCGCTTCAAGAAATCTCGCCCCAAGATGAAATCTAAGCCCTTGATGTTCGTGATCGGCAACGTCGGCTTCCACCTCAGCGCCCCTATGTGCAGTTGCAGTGATGCTTCGCGGTGGATGGGAAGTTTCGTACCGTCCACCATTGTTGCCATGAACTTGGTCTCCTCGGAAGGTTCTCCAATTTTCTCCAACGTCCTGCGGTCGCACATCGAGTGAGATGCACCGCTGTCCACCAGTGCCTGGAGGCGTTGCCCGTTGCAGATCACCTCGAGTAGTAGTGGTTGTTGCTGCTCCGAGTAACCGTAGATAGTCTCGCTTATAGGATCGTAGGGTATGTTGAATAGATCATCCCTCGGTCCTGCGCTCGAAGCTGCTGACTCCATATCAGTTTTCAACTGAGTAGGGTTAGAAGGATTTATCCGAGGCCGATTCAGCTTCGTCATGGCCTGGTACCTTCCCTTAAGCCTTTGCAGTTGTGTAGGCTTCTTCTGTGGGCAATGGGGAGCCTTAACACTTTGCTGCGGGGAGAGAATATGAATTCCTTGGAACGCACAACCCTTTTCAACGCTCCGGAGTGGTTTGCCCAACTTCTCAGGTACCTCAATAATGTCTGAAGGCTTTTTCTTGGCCTTGAAATCTCCCCTGAATTTTTTAAAGGCTTGAAAACCTCGAGAGGGAATATTCTTACTCTCGGGGGTGTTCAGCTGGAGTTTCCCGGTCGGTGCAGAGTCTTGTTTCGCGGAGCCTCCATTTGTCTCGGCGATTTCCCCTGTTGCCGGCCGGTCGTGACGTTTTATATTCGCGCCATCATTTTCCTCATTTTTTCGCCCGCTCCGAAGTCGCCACGTCGTCGCCCATTTTCGCTTTTCGGATCTTTACGCGATCACCAGTTCAATCCGCGGCTACAGGCGATTCCCGTTTTTTTACTTCGGGGGTGCTCCACTGTTACCGTCCTGCATGATCGCACGTAATTTCTTCAACTTGTAGCACGACAAAATCTGATGCCCTGCTGCGCCGCAAAATTCGCATTTGGTCGGCTGCTGCTTCGCGTCGAATTTGTCGATATCCATCGGTTCGGCGAACGTGGGGGGTGCCGATCGCTCTGTGCCGAATGTACGGTTCGGCGTGAAACGTCGTGTTTCAGGTTGACTTCGGGTCAGCGCGTCGTAACGCTCGGCTGCACGCACGATGTCCTTGTAGCTTTCGTGATTTGACGCGATCACCTGCCGCTGAACCCCCAATTTTAACCCTTCTGTATATGCCGTGATTTTTTCGCCTTCGGTCAGGTCGGGGATGCGGGTGAATAAGAGCTCCATCTGCTGCGTGTACTACGCTACACTACCGTACTGCTTGTGCCGATGAATTTGTTGCCGCGCCATATAGGTAGTATTAACCGGTTCGAAACGCCCGAAAAATTCTGCCCGAAACTGCTGCCACGTTTTCTCCCCGCGGGCCACGTCAGTGTTGTAGATCCACTCGAGTGCTGGTCCGCGTAACAGTGTTGCTGCGAGCCGGATTCGTGTTGCGTCGTATGTCGGGGTCGAACAGCCAATGGCCTCGAAGTAGATCTCAAGGATTGCCACGAAACGCCGGACGTCGGATCCCTTTGCGCTTGGATCGAACGCTTCCGGGAGCCATGGTCGTGC